TTAAATATGTAAAAAAAAACTGTTGCATGGACATCCTCGAGCGCGTCAGATATTGATAGCATCAATGCCCTACGTATTTTTAATAATGTACGTATGTTAATCTGATCGTTTGCATGATGCGGGTGGTTGTATTTAAGGGTCGAAAATGAAAAAAAAATAAAAATTATCGAGCGCGTCAGATTTTCTAAGGGAGTGTTAAGTGCACCAAAAAAAAGCTCTCATTCACTAATCTGACGATTTCGATGGGACGCAAACCCACGGCCATTTTCATAATTTGCAAAAAAAAAATCGCAATTTTGAAATACTCAAGCGCGTCAGATTAAGATAAATGTGGTTCATCTTTATGTTCTAAACGTACTGTCTCATAATCTGACGATTATCTAGAGGGATTCGCCTGATCTGACAAAAAATTTTTAGAAAAACGGTTCACCTAAAGGGCCGTCCCTGCAAGTTCCCGCTAATTCCATTCCTGGGCGCTTAAAATTGATATTTTGAGCTCGCTGAGTTCAAAGAAATAACATTTCTATGCATTTGAGCTCTCCCAGCTCGAAAGTCTGATAGAAGTTTCATAGAACACTATTTTTGGAATTTTCAAACCGCAATAACTTTTGAATGGATCAAGCAATTTTCACGCGGTTGGCGGCATTCGACGCAGTTTTATCATCCTCATAAGTAATTTTAATTGATCGAACCACAAATTTCGGAGTAATCCCGAAAAACACTTTTCGGGTTTCTTTCGTTCACGATATCTATCGAACGAATCAACCGCTTTTGACCAGCTTGGTGGCGATCGACGTGGTTTTTCAAGCTCAAAGGTGGATTAGTTTTTGAAGTTGATCGATAAAGAAACCACTTTAAAAAAATATATTTCTTATTTTTTTAAGATTTTTCAAAATTTCTCAAAATCTATCGGTCCGAATCGGTTCAAATTCACATGAAATGTAATTTTGAGGGAAATATTTAGAACGCCGTTTAGTAGATTCCGATCGGTTTAAGGAAATGAAGGCATGACGCAGCTGCACGCATTTAACTTTATCGACGAATTTTTGTTATTTCGGCTTGCGGAAATCGTCAGATTATATATTTTTCATTATTCTTGAATTATTTCCTTCAAAATAAAAAAAATTAGCTACGCTCGAGAATGTCGAGATGACGTTTTTTTTACAACTTTGTTGCCCTCCCTTTTTTCCGTCACTCTCAAATTGTCAGATTAGTGGAATATACACTTTTTAGGATGTAATTAACTCACCCTACCTTAATCTGACGCGCTCGGGAATTTCTGATGGTCAATTTTTTTTTACTAATCTGATCCTGTCTCCTTCACGGGCGGCCTTATATATGGGCCTCATATTTTGTGGAGGTACTTAACCGGGTACAAGGTATCCCCCTATATATTAATCTGCCGCGCTTTAGTAAATCCCGAAATCCCCTCTTGGGCTCCCCTACCATTATGTGAAACGTTGATAATTTTAACACAGCGCCATCTGTTAGAATTGTATCAAATAATAAACAAATATTTTGCAATAAATTAAAATTGCGACTATAATTTGAGATTTAAACTATCCTATCTCTCAAGTTGGATCGAACTGCACATGGTGTGCAAATTTGATTGATATCGGTTCGGTAGTTTAGGAGTCCATTGAGGACAAACATTGTGACACGAGATTTATATATATATTAAGATTTGAACTTTAGTACCATACCATAAAGTTTAAGTGTTAGTGGAGGGGTTCTGGAAAGGTTAATTTTTATTTTTTGACATAATGTATTTGTTGTCTTATCAACTTTCTTCTACTACTTCTACTATCAACAATCTTTTTTTTATCTTACTAGCTAGACCGGTGTCCCGAATAGCAGAATAAGTATTTAAAAAAAATAAAGAATCGACTTTTAGGCGGTACGATGTTCGCCAGGCCAGCTAGTACACAATAAACATTAAAACGATTTTTGCTTTTGTAAAACTTCAACACAAATTTCAATGTTAAAACTTTCAGAAGTACCCTATGCACTTTTTCGAGAACTTTTTTTTGAAAGGAAAAACTTTATTATACACTATATACAGAATATTTAGATAAAGTAAAGTGCACTGGCCCCCACACTAGGATTCCCTGTGTTGTGGGCAGCCACTCTCTTCCTTTTGACACGTAAACAGTATTTTACTTTAGAATTTTTACAGAACACAAATTTATATTTAAACTATTTTTTCACAATAGCAATATTTTCTGTATCAGCAAATGACAGGTTGACAAGATATTGTTTGAGATTTTAGTAAGTGTATGTAATGTGAGTTTTGACATGTTAGTGATAATTTTGTTTTTAAGGAAGTGGTTAAAGATGGAAGAGCCTCGAAAGGAGAAAAAGCGTTGGGCGAAGAAACTGCGTTTTTTGATACTTTTGAAACTTACTTTTTTGCTTACAGGTTTGCGTTGTGTTTGATGTGGTGTGGCGGGTGTTTGTTTTCAAAAAAGTCTGCATATTGTCTAACAGGTAAAAGTTTTGTTTAAATAAAATTTGTGGCTTAGCACTAAAACTGTGATATTTCCCCATAACGTCAGCATGATTGCCAAAGTGCAAAAAGTCCCTAAACCAATCAGTTCTCATATAAATCTGACTCAGAACACATTTTCCTGTACCTATTCTAGTTCAACAAATTTTCCTGAAAGTCGATACCAAATTCAATACGCAAACATGTTTTCCTATGAAGTCTACACAAACGTATGTTTTGATTTCAATACTGGACTTCGCCAACTCTATTATTAGAGAAGTCTATTTTTTATTATTTGGCTGGAGTTGATAAATATTACAAACTTTACGACCTAAGGTACACAGCTTTCTTGGAGCTTGTTTTTGTTGAGGTAAGAACGAAGCCGTGTTGGCCTAGTGGCTTCAGCGTGCGACTCTCATCCCCATTCCCCGAGGTCGTAGGTTCGATCCCCGGCTGTGTACCAATGGACTTTCTTTCTGTGTGCGCATTTAACATTCGCTCGAACGGTCAAGGAAAACATCATGAGGAAACTGACATGCCTTAGACCCAAAAAGTCGACGGCGTGTATCAGGCACTGGAGGCTGATCACCTCACCTATTAGATTTAAAAATGATCATGAAACAGATTCAGAAATCTGAACCCCAGACCTAAAGAGGTTGTAGCGGTAAATGTGGCTGTAATGTTGATTTCATAAGAAACCCCGGTAGACCGAGGCTGCGTTTTGCTGGGATGATGTTATCAAGCACCTCAAACAATAGGTGTTCGAAGTTGGACGCAAGTACGAAATAGATTGCGATGGGGAAATATTTGAGCCCACAAGGAGCTGTATAAGTGTATAGCCATTGATGATGATGTGGTTTCATCTCGTATAATATTTGCAAACACATTTCTTTTCTTATCGTGCAAGTCGCGCAAGAAATGCCTACAGGTATCTATTATGACAATAACGTTTGGCAACATCGCTAAACAACAACTTCGCAATTGGTTTCACCGTTGCCAAAGAAAACATAGTAGACTTTGGAATAAATTACGCGAAGCTTTTCCGACATCTCTTAATAATACTAGTTGCTACATACGCAATCTGCCAGGGTGGGCCGTGCCCACTATAGTATGGTCTTCTGCCCAGTAGTGTATACATTTTTCATCATATGCTAACTTTCAGTATCATTGATCGGAACCCCTTCACGGATAAAGCCCTCCTCCAGCTTTTACCAAATATTTCTGTCCAAGGCTTTCTATTTCTCCTATCCATCTTTTTTTGGGGCCTCATCTTCTTACCCTTGGTCCTTTCCATATATTGTCTTTAAAGCCCGCCTTTTATCTATGCATTTTGCTATATGCCCCGCCTATTGCCATTTCTATTTTAGGGCATAATGTAATGGCACTTCTAAACGGGCCATGTTTTGCTGCAATTGATGGCAGCAACACTGTGGCCGGCAACATTGCAAACAATAGCAGCGACACTATGCAATATTGCAGTAATGTCTCGGCCATATAGCCAAACATGTTTTGTATAGCCACATATGGCCGATGTTGCCCCGATGGGTGGCCGGACGATCGCTAGGCTATCGAATTCAACTGCAATATTGCACAGCCAGTTCTATTGTTGTTTCAGTCACTCACTTTGTTATGGCACAGTGTATCCTTGACGTTAGGTTACTACTTAAAAATGACTGCTTTTGACATTTTAGTAAAGTTCTTGAATAATTTATTATCAAGGCATATTTCTAGACTCAAATTGTCTACAGCTTCACGCCTATTTAAGTAAGGTCGAATCCACAATCTCTTCTTTTTCTGTTTCTTTTTTAAAACAATATAAGCTGCTGCGACAAGTGTGATTTCGTCAGCCATTGTTGCCGGTTTGTGTAGCCCGTTTAGGAGTCTGCATCATGGGCCATACTATTGCAGACATATTGCAACACATTGCCCAGCCATAGATTGTTCGGCCATCAGCTGCATTAAAATATTTTTGTAATGGCCGGGCAATTAGTGGCCAACAGTGCAGCCATCAATTGCAGCAAAACATGGCCCGTTTAGACGCGCCATAAGGCATATATCACACGAAAAACATAAGACGACGCGTAGATATAAACATATAATAAAACTGAATAATACATAATTCCTAAACCAGATATATAATGTATTGCTCCATTCACTATTGTTAAGATAAATACGTTTTATTATTAACATACATTTCATTTCAAATGCATTAAACAAAATTTAGCTATGTAAACTTTCGTTGAACACAAAGCTTAAATTCGGATATAGAAAGCTTTCTTGTATAAACATTTTTTCAGCTTATGGCAACGACCTTTGACTTTAAAGGCACAAAAGCCTCTGTATAATGCGATATTTATATTACGTATACATTGTTTTAATGCGAGTTTTAGTCTCCGAGCGGAAGGTCCCTATAAAAATCATTTAGTTTCAGCGCCTTCTAAATAGGAAATAATAAAAATCCAAAGAGTAATCTTATTACCATAATATATCGTATTCTTAATTGGTAAAGGTCGCGTTACTGTCCGGTGCCTGCTGTCCTACTAGTGAGATCTCTCCACTTTGTTTCGTCTGCAGCTTCCCTTAGCTCAGCTGTTAAGGGAGAGACAATCATAACTTGGTCACACCAGCTGATTGTCCTTTGCCCTTGTCCTTTTGCCTTCCAGATTGCCGACGACAACCGGCCGACGGGCGAAAGGACTAAATTTAGAACTCTTCTAAATCTCTTCTTCATGTCTTTAAGTCTCGTACGAATGTTGAATTGATCCAAGATTTATTTGTTAGTGCCTTAAGCGGTCCATGGTAGACGAAATATCTTTTTCCAACACCACATCTCTCATGATATCAACAGTAGGAACATGCAGAACATACTAGTATTACCTACAGCTGAGTTTCATTATCGCACGTCAAGGCAGAATACAAAATACCATCCGTATCACGTCGATATCCGTAGTTCCACAACTGAGCGCTTCTTAAGGCAGTTTTTGCCGCGCACCACCACTATGTGAGACCAGCTGCCCACTGAAGTATTTCCGAACCTATTCCACTAAGGGTCCTTCAAGAAAAGAGCGTACCAATTCTAAAAAGGCCAGATGATATCACTTAACATCAGGTGAACCTTCGGACCGTTAGCTTTCTATTACATTAAAAAAATGCTTGCCAAATAAAGTAACCATTTACCAATAATTGTTGGAGGTAGTCATAAAAAAAATGTCAAATAAATAGCTCGCTACTTCTTTGTGTATTAAGTACATTAACCCAATACAAAAATATAACCTTAGAACTGATGACGAATCGAGTTTTACTTTAAATCAACGAAAGCGAATAAGCCTATACAATATTACAAATGTATAGACATTTCCTAACGTCAATACAAAGTAATGTATCAAGTAAAACCACACTTTATTCTTACCACTGGACGAATCGCATTGCAAAGTTATTGCATTTGACGTCATGAGGGGACATAAATCAGGAATTTCCGGTAACCGAGCTAATTATACCATGTTCCAGACATTAATTTTAACTTTAGCAATATGATAATACTACACACGTTTTAATTATTAACAGTCAAAGCGGCGTAAACAAGCCAATTTTGTAAGATTTTTCTACGTCAATCGCATTCGTTTCTTTACAAACTGTATATTTCTAAATATATCTATGTTAGATAGTCCATTAACTTTTATGCAATTAAGGGCCCACATTTAATTTAAATTTAAAAATTATTTTATTATTTTATATTTAATAATAGATATACCAAATTCCAAGTTACATTTCCGGCTGACATATCTGTCAGATTATAGTGGATCAAGCGATACAGCAAGTTATAAAACAAGACTCCTAGGCCTCTACGAGGTGTCCAGCCTAGAATATGAAATCAGTAACCTGTCTTCAGGGGTAGCCAATAATCATATTGGTCACTAGTCATGTAGACAGAGACATAAGTACTCTTAACCGTTACTCAAAAATGGTTTAAATTATTCAGTATTCAAAAAAATATCATACATTTGCGATACCGTTAATCGAATAATGGCTCAACCTTTCGTGACCGTAGTGAGCACATAGTTTATACTGAGGTCAGGGCCAATACATAGACGCCACATAGTTATATATCTCCCGGAATATTTATTCGATTAACGGCTAAAATGGATAACAGTCTGTCTTAATTAGGACGCATGATATGCTGTTGCAGTGATGACATAAAATTAAATGTCTTAGTACAGCACAAACACTCTAATCATGGACTGGCTTTTAGTATCATAATCATGACGAAGCGGAAAATCTTCAGCGTTATAAGATAGAAGCAGATATTTACTACGAACTTAGATTAAGTTATATAATTATTGTCTTTAGTTTAAATTTTATTCTAAACTGAGAATTTTAGGCATTAGTTCTTTATTAATTTGGTGCCAATAAATTATATTATTAGTACATATACGGTCATATCATAATATCCATAAAATTGCATGGTTTATTTTTCATATACAATCTGTATGTTCTAGTACTTCAAGTCTTTGGTTTAAAACTCAATAGCTTATCAAATTCGTGTAACTCACACTGAGTCATAATAATGTACTTGACAAATCGCTCTGTGCCGATTATGGTAGTTATATGAAGAAAGTTCTGTTTCACTGGTCTTTTACGGTTACGATTTTACGTTACGATTATTTCCAAACAACAAAAAATATCGCATGGAATCAAATGTTTTATTGTAAAGGACAGTATTAACCAATCATTGAGGAATTAAGAATATCCTAAATATGACCGTTTGATACGAACTATTACTTGTTTCACTAGCAATGGTTTGGGCATAAGTCCGCCACTGGCGTCTATCGATCTTCCCTACATAGGTCTGGTATTGATCGCACGCCACTTCTGAACCATTACACCTAGGTAATGTAAACTTTACCTCACCTGTTAAATATGTAATACTTTGCTATTTCATTTCTGTTTGTATTTTACGACAGATAATTGGTGTAATGTATTTTTGGCGTACATTGAACTTATCATTTACTGAAGGAAACAACTTGCTTGGCTTGCAACGAAAAAAATAGTTTTACTAAAAAAAGAACCCAAGACCAAACGACGAAGACTGTAAAGAGAAGCAGTGTGTTACAGCTTCTAAATTTATATACATGAAAACAACTGTTATAACAATAAAGAAGAAAGAAAGAAGATACGAGTTTTTACGGTAGAGAACTTTATAAACAAGGGAGCATTAAAAAAAATCTATTAGAAATCATATTATTAATTAACAACCATTAGTTTAGTTTTTTGCTATCAGAGGTGGGGCCACACCAGTCTCTGCTTATCAGAAATCCGGGTGGGCAATGCCCATTAAAACCTCGTGGCATTCTAACAAGGCTGCAATAGTGAAATATTGGGAACAAAATCCAAATATTATGTTGTTATGTTACACTATGCAGTGATTGTAATTAAATATAAAACACGCATTCACTAGCAACACATTATGTATTTCATAGCACATCATATTAAACTTATTGAATGTGTATATAATAATTACGTAAGTCTCTCAGGGTAATGGAGCCAATCGAATATCGTTAAACCGATGCGGGCATCATTACTGCTGCATATTGTTAAATTGTTACAAGTATATAAAGCAACAAAGTATGTATTAACGAATTATCTCAAGGTTATCAAATTTAACTAAAGTTCAACTCCCTCCGTAAGTCACGAGTTCGGTAGGTAACACAACAGAAGCCCCTGCGTCTGATACCCGGGAAACATTTTCAGTACAGAAGGCACTTAGTTAAAAAGATATCAATCTAAAAGGAAAAAGTGTACTCCCATAATCTTCTATATGCAGAACTTTCAACATACACAGCTACAAAAGACTTTTTGCATTTAGGAAAGTTGATTTAAAATTGTAATACAAGAAAACGTCACAATTCGCGATATCGTGATTTGTATATTAAGTTAAGACCTTCCTCGTGCAATGCTCACTGCATTTATTATATTGTTATTGCTCAGTAGTTCTTCAATGACATCTTTCGCATTTTATTACCGTTTAACCAAGGTAGTAAAAGAAGTTATTATACTGCTATTGTATAAATTTTCATGCAACATTTACTGAAGAAATAAACAAAATATACAAGGCTTTAACATTCTTATTCTTCTAGCACAGATCCTGACTTTAATTCTAAATACCAGATTTTTTCACTAAACTAATAATATTATTTCTTCAATGTTGAGTAAAAAAAATTTTAATGCTTCCTGGAGCCTGTTCAATCTTGAGCATCAAGTATGTTTAATCTAATGTAATTAAAGTAAATGCACCTAATTTCATTGCTGTAGGTAACACAGACTGACAATTTAGGAGTATACTAGAAATAAAATATCAACCTCAATTATATTCTACTGACGGGCATACTCAAACCAATTTAAACAATCAAGACCCATCCATACCCTGCTTCAATTGAGGCGGTAGCTGTAATAGGCTACATTAATTTTAATCACAATTGATTAATATATATACTAATCAATTGTGTCAAGTTTTGTGAGTTGTATTCAATAGATCGTAGGCAGTAATAGAATAGTCAGCCAGAAAAAGCTTTAAAGCTTTTTATATTAGTTACAAAAATTGGACAGCAACAATAGTTTATGTTTAAAATATGACACAATATTATTCATGTAACAAAAATTTTATTCTAGTAACAACAAAGCACCAATGTGATACTTTCTATGTTTATTTAATATAAGAAACCATTAATGTTCTATAAACATACTACTAAATATAATAACCAAGTAGAAACCTAGAATTTATGATGAAAGATGTAGACGGGAGAAGAACTAGTAGATATATGACTGTATACTACATACTATGATCTAAGCCAGTTACCAAAATATCCACCTAACAGTATCTAAGGTAAAAAAGAGATAACAGGTAGGTAGGTGTAAGTATAATTATTATTTTATGACACAATAAGTGAGGAAAAATTGATGCAAAACAACAGTACACAAGAACTGTAAAATATGTAGAGGTCAAGCAAATATAAGTATCTTAATATTTTTAACAAGTCGAATAAAATTAATTGTAATCATGGGTAAATTTTTACACACGTTAACACGTTACGCAAGTTAAGATACTTAACAAAGTACATTCATGTCAGCTAAGTTAACTAAATAAAAATAACTTGTGACACAAAATATGTGACTGGAGCCAAATTAAGGTCATACAATAATACACAAATTTATATTCATACACAAAATAAGTCCTAAATTTTAAAATATTGCAGGTACAGAATTATCTTTTAGAAAATTTCAACTCTTACAAGTTATATTTCTTCATGTTCTAATGACATATTTAGCTGTAGAAACCAGTTTATGATATCACTTCCTTATGACTACATAGTCACCTTGGTTTGCTTATTGCTTACTCTACCTTTTTGCGACGAAATGAAGATAAGCAAATTATTCACTAATCGCACCTATATAGTTGTCGATTGCGGACATAATCTTTAGGTTAATAATATAATTCATTTAAACTTACATTTTCTGATAGGTAAAGCAGTAACAAGAATCCAAGGATGCTTGGTATAATTTTCTGCAGAATCCTTTCTCCGCTGCCAGCCATTTTGACTCACTTAACTTCACAACTTATAGGTAAATTTGATTGTTACTTATTTGTCATATCATACTTGGAATCACAATATTATTTATTTAATCAGTGCCCACAACCAAAATTAAACATAAATGATTATGACGCACTACTACTACCTCCAAGTTTATTTTCCAAAATGAAAATGACAATTTATACTTTATAGGGATTCTTGAATTTACGACCGCAGCACAGACCACATATGCGTAATATACTCATATTTGCACTCCACAGTGTAGCCACAGACTAGACCGTACTCAGAGTATATAGCACTATAATAAGCGAAAAACAAGTAAATATACAAAGTTATTTTGGAAGGTATTTGCTTTGTTGATGTAGAGGACTCAGACTTTATCACAAATCTCAGTTAGCACTAGGAAAAGGCTTACAGGGTAAAATTCAAATAAAAGACTTTGCGCTAAATCTAACTCTCGGACAAAGAAAATGTTTTGGGTTATGATAAATGTTATATCGGGCTTTCGTTTCTAAATTTAACCCACTCTGTCTACAGGCTATAAATGGTACAATTAAGAAGATTAGAATACATAAGTATTTCTTAACTTATATCTGTAAGTAATAAATAATATGTCTGTGGTACTACAGATAACTGATAAAGGTATATCAGTAATCTATGGCGTACCAATAACAATTAACAATCAACAAACAAAAATTAAGATAATTAAAAGTTAGGCTTAAATTTTATAATCTTTTATGAATAGATAAATTTCTTTAGTAGGTTTTTTATTTAAGAGTTTCTATATCCCATACAATGAGTGTTGTTGTTATATAAATAACAACGTTTTTAAATAATACATAGAATATTTCTTTATAAGGCAGCCAGCTAATGTGTAAGTAAAATTTAAAATTAACGGGAAAATTCATATTCTTAATAAATGGAGGAAAGAAAGAGAAAGCGAAACTTGTATGTAACGCCTACACAAAAGAAAAAATTAATTGAACTTCTATCAAAACACCCAATGTTATTATCTGGTAAAAGAACACAGAACTTTACTAACATGGATGCTCAACGGGTATGGCAAAGCATAGCAAAAGAATGTAATTCCATACCTGGATCTAAAAAACATTGGCGTCAATGGAAAAAAGTAAGTTAATAAGATAAGTGTTCTGCTAAATTTGGCATTATATTATGTATATTGTTTAAATTATTGTGTATAAAAAAACACACAAGATCCAAATAATTAAATTTATAGTTTTAACTAACATACCAAAATTTTCAGTCATGGCAGGATATGAGATCAAAATATTTTAAAAGAAATTCTGTAAAAGTTAATGATGGACCATCTATAAAAACTTTAATTACTAAACTAGAAGAGGAATGCCTTTCAACTTCTAAGAATGATGAGGATTTTACAGAAACAACAGAGTTTGTGATGTTAGATGAAAGTCAAGAGATATATCATGATGAGAATCTCTCCCATGAATCTATCAGTGAACCGGCATCACCACAAGAAGAAAAAGTTTTTGCAATAGAATCACAACCCACAGAAACAAAATCTAACCATAAGAGTAAATATAAAAATAATGATCATGATTGTGAACCTACAGGTTGTAATATAAATTGTGACATATTGTTATCAAATGAAAAAAGAAAAATAAAATTAAAAGAAGACTTTATTAATTTTAAAAAAGATTATTTTAGACAAAAATTAAAGCTGTTAAAAGAACAAACAGAAGCCTTAAAAAGTATTGCTAAGGAAATATGTAATAAATGAAGTTACAGCTTATATCTAGAATTTATTTTATTTATTTAATGTACTAGGAAAAATTCATAGTTAAACTACCAACAGGTTTCTATATATGAGATATATATGATATAGGTTTTTCTTTATAGAAATACAAAAGTTTATTTTCAAATTTAAAAATGTTTGTTCATGGATTAGCACTTCTTAAAATTATTTCGTTGAAGAATACAAAAAATCAAAGGACACGTTCCGTTATGATTTGACTGACCCATGGATATATTGTATAAAGAAAATATTTTATCTGTTACCTTTACAATAAGACATTTCAAGTTTTTACAGTTGACAGTTCTTGTGTCAATATTTTCTAGTTGTCATTAGTCATTCGTAACAGACCACAGTTCACTTTAGTTGTCAAGATTTGTCATATTGTATATAATGCACTCTGATATTATGTTAATTTTATTAATAATACATTGATTAAAAAAAAACGATATAGTATGTGCGGCTAATTTGAATAAAATGTCTATTTAATATGAAGATTTGTTTTCGCACATAACTTCTCCGATGCAATGTACCATAAGGATTACAGTAACTTCGTCCGTCCAACACTTGATGATGCAGCTGTTGTACCATCTACCAATTTCCCGATCCCAAAGCTTAGCGGAAAAGAAGCTAGGAAACTCTATTTAGAAGAAGTGAGAAATATAGAAGACCCTCACATAATTTCGAATGATGAATCCAATGTGCCCGAAAAATTACTTTGTAAGCGTAAGATTGATCCTAACTTGACGGATCAAGAATTATTTCAAAGTGTTCAAAACAATTGCATTAATGTGGTGAAATCTACTTTAGATACATTTCCAGATAAAATTTACTTGAAAGATGAATTTGGTTGGAGTTTGCTAATGATAGCATGTCAGGCGAATTCAGTAGATATTGTGAAAGAACTAATAAAACGCGGTATTGATACAACTGTTAGAGATAAAGCTGGAAACTCTGCCCAAAGCCTAGTCATACAAAACAAAAATATTGTGCTAGCTAATATACTTCTTATGCAAGCTACTGAAGATATCAAACCAATAAAAACACAAGTTAAGTTAAAAAAACAAGACTATCAGTGCCCAATTTGTAGCAACTTATTTTTTTCTGATAGGGAACAGCATTTATCATCTACACTACATAATATAAATGTAAGTAAAGGAAAGAAAATTCCAACAAACTATGTTATTCCTGAATCAAATAAGGGATTTCAAATTATGTTGAAGGAGGGTTGGGACAAAGAAACAGGATTAGGTCCAGACGGTGCTGGAGCTAAATATCCAATTAAAGCAACTATGAAGAAAGACAGAACTGGACTGGGATTGAAAAAAAAGGAAGAAAGTTCTGAGAAAAAATCTCCTAAAATTGTCAATAAAAAAATTTTAAAAAGAGAAGAGCATAAAAACAAAATTATGGAGATCAGGTTTCGTAGAGAGTTTTACTAAAATGTAACATGTTCAATGTTTCATTTAGGTTACAATAGTTATTACTATATTTCCTTTAAGCACAAAATGAGGAAAATAAACAACATTTAAACAGGCAAATATAAAAGTTTATTTCAAAAGACACTGATCACATCTTGAAGTTTACAAAATTCTGTTCTTCAGAATATAATATAGTAAACAATTTTAAGAAATATATTTATTTAAAAAAGTATTTTTTTTTTGGGCATTATATAAATAAATTGTTATTCTATAAGGAAAAGAATTAAAAAATGCATGGAAATCTGCATTAGAAGTCAATCATATAAATAACATTCATTTTATCTTATCTACTATCATACAAATTTGTTGCTAGACTATAAGTAGTAATCAAAGATTAGGGGCTACCCAGTCAAGGAATTTGACAGCCAATTCAAATCCAACAAAGCAAGCAGCATTTGCTGGGAAAGCTCTGATCATTACTGGAGCTACGCCTTTATATAAAGCTGTAGGTCCTTCTTTTTCCATTAACTGTTTGAACACATCTCGCATACCATTAGGGTAAGTCCCCTCTGGGGCAGTCTGTAATCTGCTCTTCAAAACATCAGCTGGCATGCCTACCAGCCAGTTAGCTATACCAGCACAACCCCCAGCAACAACTGTTGCCAACATTTTTAATTTAGCACTAGCATCCTCAGGTACTAAAACCTCTTTAACCCCTTCATAGGTCATAAAATACATTCCACTTGCAGGCACATCTCTCAAAATGGTGGCAACACTACCCTTATAAATACTTCTGATACCACCCTCTGCATATAACTGCCTGGCACAGTCCAGCATACCACTGTACTTTTGTGGTCCACTGCCACCTTGTTGAATTTGAAGTAAGCATTTAATTCTCTCACCTGGAGCCATGATAGATGTTGTAAATATACCTGAGAAAGCACCAGCCGCAAACAGCTCTGTTCTAGTAAGTATTTGTTCCTCATCCGACTTTAGCAGTTTTTTCCCTAGTCCAAAACCAAAAAAACTGATTGCAAAAATTGGTGCCACTCCAGTTAATGGTGCTGACATACCCTTGTAAAGACCTTTGAATCCCTCTCTCTGGACAGTTTTTTGGAAACAATCAATGGTGCCAGCGTACAAGGCCTTCTGGCCTGGTTGCGGTAGAGGCATAGTTTGTAATCTTACTTTAATAGTATCCATTGGATGTCCGGCTAAAACTGTGCAAACTCCACCAAAGCCGCCACTTAAAAAGTATTTTATAGGGCTACTTTTCTCAGACATTTTAATTGATTATTCTTGATGCAGCTAAGGTGAAAGTTTCAGTTATAACAGTTGAGGAAACTTTTGTCAGAAACTTGTTTTATGTTTAAAATTTTAAGTTGAAATGTCAAAGTCCAAAAATCAAAAGGGTCAGGTTCCACAGATTATAATTGGGTGGCTAATTCCCATGTTCAGGAGATAAATTTTTAGTTGTCTTGAGTTTGATTCTATTTTAAAAGTCAAGTGTCACTGTCGTTCCAAAAACAAATCCGTATCAGATGTGAACTGTCGAATTATTATTTAACTCACCAATGACCAATCAGGAATCACCATAATAAGTAATTAGTAATAACAAACACTTACGTGAAAATTGAAAAATGATGCCTTTCCCATTAGGGACAAAAAGTATATTGTTAACGTTACGTGAAAAATGATACGTCTCTAGAACTCGATTTAAAAAGACCTGTTGTGTATTAATTATAAACTTATTGATGTGGCATCATCAAAGGTGTGCGGCGTGCGTCAAGAACTTAACTGGGCTCAGTTAAAAAAAACCCTAAGGTTTTAGAAACATAAGCAAGACATGGCATGTTCTAAAGAAGAAATTGAAAGAAAGCGTTTAGCCGCTTTACAAAAAATAAAAAACCGAACTCAATTTTACCAAACCAAAAGTTCTCCAGGGACTTCCACAAGTCAAAATTCTGGTTATGGTCCCCTAAAAGAGTTTTCTAGTAACCACTCTTTCCATCCTTATGCTAAAAAAGAAAATAGCATATCAGAAACATTTGTACCAGTAACAAAAGTTGTCAGCGGAGCGTTATCCTTAGTATCAGAGGATAGATTTGAAGTAAATCCTTCAGAGTTTTGTCCACCTCTAATAAATATTTTTAATTCAATACCATCGAAAAACTATGGTAAGATTTCTGATTAACTTGATTCTATATTCTATCAACAATAAAACACAATTCCTAACTACTTTTATTATTTTTTAGATTCTAAATCCAAGTTATGGAACTTTTCAATTGCCGATTATGATGAGTTTACATCAAAAGTGGCTCCATTAGCCCCTCACATTGTTTTAGGTCCTCTTCCACCATATGTTTTAAAGGTATTAGTAAAAGATAAAATTGATTTACATAATAAGTGAACATATAAAAAATAGAAGGTAGACAGTGAAATAAAATAAACTATTTTTATTACAGATATTAAAAGATAAGTCAATAGACCCCAATTTAGTAGATTTATCTCCTATAGAAGCAACATTGAGGAATAAATTAATGCCTTTTCAAGAGGAAGGAGTGAGGTTAGGATAATGTTTTATAAAAATAAGATTACATAAAAGTCAAGTAATTTCATACTAACTGCATAGTCCAGTTACCTCCAATGTGGAATGTAATGTGTAGACTCAGTTTCCGCAACAATGGGAAAGGAAGGATACCATACCATTTCTCTGATTAATTTTTAAAAAATATAAATAGCCTTGCAATCCTTATTAAAATACAGCCTGCATGAAAGACCTATGCTAGCACAGTCATTCCACATTGTGCCTTGTATATCCACCAGCTGCAGGCGCTCCAGTAGGTATTCATAAGAAGGAACGTCGATCTTCACAACGACCTGGAGCTCCCTACCATAACCCAATAGATGAACTTAGCGTTCACACTCCAATAACATTTACTAATGACAAATTAAAATCCATCCTCCGCCGGTATTCTCCTTAGCTTTGCATATTCAAATAAAACACCGCCTTCACTGGGGAAAGTGCGTCCTTTACTTCGTACTTCGCTCAGGTCCTGAGATTCCTGGTGGTCACAGGTCACCTCATGGTGGTCGAGGTTCGAGTCGAGACGCCAAATTCCAAGCTGAGTTGTCAAGGCCACTCAGCCCAACAGATTCCAGTTAAAATATCATTAATTAATTGAATAATTTAAATGTTTCAATATCTGTCAGCTGATATAATATCTGTAGAAGTATGTTGTATACTATTGGGCTATTGTTATGTATATCAACTTAATGTGTAGTGACTGGATGTATGATGTATGTAACTAGTCAAATTTCTTTATAAGGTTTGTTTAAAGATCATGATGTTGAAATTTCAGTGTATATGTGATACAATTCTAAATTTTCAGGTTTGGTATTTCCCGGCGCGGTCGTTGTATGATTGCAGATGACATGGGATTGGGTAAAACGTTTCAAGCGCTGGCTATAGCCAGCTTTTATAGACATAACTGGCCTCTTTTGATTGTTACTACATCTTCTATGAGGTAAGTGATATCAATGAAACACACACAAGAAAGCCTAAAATGATCATTAGGCAACCAGTGAATAACCAATTAAAAGAGAAGTTATTCTGTATAAAATTAATTACAGTGGAAACTCTAAAATCGAACTTCGTTTAGTCGAAATCCTCAGTAAGTCGAAAAAAATGCCATTCCCTTCAGTTAAATACGCGGTATCTCGAATTATTTTGACTTCGTAACTCGAACAAAATGTTATTTCCCTAAGAAGTATTGATAATACATATTTATACTCTGTAACTCGAATTTCAAAACGGAGACTCCGTAAGTCATAGGTAGTAAAATATAATGACGTCTTGCATTTCCCCGAAATAATAGCAATAAAATCCAAAATGAATGTTGGGGTTCGGGGCTTCTAACCTATTTATCTTGTCTTGTACGCGTGCAATGAATGAATACATTCATAATTTTTTTTAGTATACAGTTACTATTAAAGTTCTTAATTCTACGACTCTACAAATCGAAAAATATACATAGAAATCGCGCCTCTGTAAGTCGATATTTCAACAGTTAAATCATATGTATCTCGAAGTTCTTGCTAAGTCGAAAACTCGCTAACTCGAATTTGCCCTTGATATTCAAGTTATAGAGATTCCACTGTATTACATTTTACTTTAATGACATCTTTATGGTTGTTAGCATTATATTTTTGTCCCATTACATATTATAACAAGTATTGTAAATAATTTAATTACTATAAGATCTATTCAATACAAAAGATCATTTGAGTAGTATTTAGTATATATACGCTTGGCAATAGTTGTAATTATATTCTTATAATTTGATTTGTGTGTAATGGTGAATGTGGTAAATCACAGAACAGATTTTTATATTTTTTTTACTTATGTAACTGTAATGACGTTGTGGTTTATGACATTTTCCTTTGAATAATTGTAATGTAGAGGGAGGGTAAAACTTGCTGAGTTTCTTGCCCGTTCTTCTCAGAACAAGGCCTCCTGGTAGTTTTGAGAATGGATGGCGTAGTCTTGCTCTTTCGCGAATTTTGTAAACGTTTTTGACATTCATAAGCATGCCCTAAGACGCATGTGAATTGAATAAACGTATTTTGATTTTGATATAATGGGCTAGATATTTTATGGATTTAATTTCATATATTTCAGAGAAACATGGCAGAGTAAGATTCATGAGTTGTTACCATCAGTCCCTATGATGAATATAGTTACATTAACTACGGGAAAAGATGCACAACTAGTCGCAGACAGGCAGGTTCGTATTATAGTAGCCTTTCTCAAGAAATATATTCCCAATATATTTCCGACTACTATTACTGAATCAATCCGACTTTAAAGAGTTCAGTTACACACACAAATACACACCTACACATGCATTCTTTCTGTCATGTTATTGCAGTCTTTAAACCTTTTAATTGACTTAAACATTATTTTGTGTCAAAGTCAAGTCAAAAGTCAAAAATCATTTATTCATGTAGGTAACACTTATAAACGTCAAAAAATAAATATTCATTAAATGCTTCTAATTTTACATTTACTGCCAGTTCTCAGAGGGCGTAGAACGGAAGAGAAGAACTGGCAATAAACTCTCCGCCACTCTTTTTAATCGCCGTTGTAGTAAGCTGTGAAGTATTTCTAAATCAAAAATAGGTAATCCCCTTATGGAGGAAGGTAGGTGCTGCTTCTCATGTGGCCTAATGGAACGATCCTCAATCAGTCTATCCACTAATCCCCAGTGGCTAAAGTCCAGAAGTTGTATATAGACGTCAGGGTATGACGTCATCGTAGTGATTCCTAGCCACAGATTATAAAGGTCGCTACACCCTTATTACACCTTACAAACTCTTCGTTTAATTTTTTCCGTCTGACTACACAACAATATTTCATAGATTTTGCCAAAGATAACAATCAAGGCAAGGCCAATTAAATAAAATTTACTAATATTTTTTCAGACTGAAGTTGTCATCGTGAGTTATAAAATAACAACAATGCACACAGATCTATTAAAGAACAAGAAATTTGGAATTATTATTATTGTAAGTAAACATTCTAATTGCAATATCGATGCATCCACAAATTCTTGATCAAATGCCGCAAATTGGGTCCTGGGTGACGCCGCTTAGGCAGGTAAATTTTTGAAGTTATTCTTCTTTAGGCGCGTTATGAAAAATTGATGAGAGTGAAATTTTACGATGCGCGCGCACCGTTACACAAAATTATCAGTATGAAGTTGCCCACGGAAGATGCCACGGCATTGGACATAATTTAAAAACAACATTCGAATAATAATAGAATTTATGTTACACTTAATGTAAGAGAATAATAATAAATATTTATTTATTTAATTTTTCAAATGTAAACTGAACTTTATTGACTATAATGACTCCTTTTCCAGTCTTTGATTAATTAATTGTAATTAATTATTTGCATGCAATCAAAAACTATTTTTAATAATGCCAAAGAAGTATAACTTCTTACGCGCGTACATAAGTACACGCACCCTTCTTTTTCTTGAAGAATCTATACGTCTATTATTAATTAGCTTTCCCCACTCAAAACAAAAGGCGAAAATTAATGAAACGCGGTAAATCCATATATATTGTAATAGAGGTCACGTGTTTTCATGAAAGTGTATTTGGAGCTGAGAGTGAAACAAAAGACGAAACAATGAGTTATAGGCCGGGAGATAGTGACACAAATAGCGCGCAAAACAAAAAAAATGTGTGCGTCTCGGTACGCCCAACAGAAGTGATAATTTAAACACATTTAAATTGTTTAACTTGAGCAAAGGTTTAATTGATTTGATAATAAGGAAAGGTTTTACTAATAAAATATTTAAAATCGTCTGAAAAACGGCTAGCCTTGCGGTTTAGAGTGAGAGAGGAGGAGCCTGCCTACTGCTGCCGTATACGTGAGAGAAAGGGAAGCTAGACAGACTGGCGCTGTAAAGCGTTACGTAACAAAGCGGTTTACCCTTCAATAAAAAGTTATCACTTCATAAAAAAAGATTGTACCAATTGTAATGATAAGTAATGTCATAATTTGTGAAATTATGATCACTTGTGGATTGTAATAACTTTTCAAAGACATTCTGTGGTGCTGTATGATTGTTTTTATTTCTAGGATGAGTCACACTATTTAAAGTCCCACAAAGCACAGTGCACGATTGCTCTAGTATCTATAGCACGGCAGTGTTCGCGAGCGATACTATTAAGTGGTACGCCTGCTTTAAGCCGCCCATCAGAGTTATATACGCAACTGGCGCTTATAGAACCGAAGCTGTTTTCATCTTACACAGAGTATGGTGAGACTATTCTTTTTTTACATTATAATAAGGAATGTTAGCTTAATACATTGTAAGACAACAGCCGAGTCCCATATTTTAAAAAAAGCATGTGAAAATATCATAATAGAAAAAAATTAAACCTCATTCGACACAAATTATATAAGTTAAGTATACTTAATTCTTAAAATGCCGGCAACGCACTCGCGAGCAATCTGGCAACGAGAGTGTCACTTAACAAATTCTTAACGAGTTAAAATTCTTAAATTAAAGTAATATAATATTATTTTGATAACGTCTAATTAATGATCAATAAACGCCGGCTGCAGGTATAAAGTCACCTAAAATCATGACTGATTGTCCCGTTACGCTCATTGTACGCTTGCACCGCATCTATCTCTCTTCCACTTGAAGACAATGCAATGCAATCATTTCATCAATGTTTTGTTATGACATTGTCTCGTTAAACTATCGCCCGTAAACCGACTTAACAGACAACAATTTTTTTAATCAAAAATAATATCCGACGAAATTTAACTCAAAAATTTAGAAATTTAGACAAGGATTAGACAGGTGAACACATATTATTTACAAGCATGTTTCGTCATCGTCGATTTGATTTCTGTGTAACCGTTTTGTGTCACGTGATGTACAAATATAAATAATTAATAGATGTTTTGATAAATTAATGTTAAATAGGCTGTTTTAAAATGACTAAAAAAAATGTTTTTTTAGACACAGAAGGATCATCACTTCCCCCATACAGACTACTAATAACTAGATCCATAAACACTTTGAAGTATCCATCTGAAAATGTACCATATGAAAATTGTAATTTCCAGGTAAAAGGTATTGTGCGGGCAAACAAACAAATTTCGGATGGGACATGTCGGGACAATCCAATTTAGCTGAACTGCAAGTGATCTTACAAAAACGATTCCTAATTCGACGGACGAAGGAACAAGTGTTGACTTCACTGGAGGAAAAAACTCGGTATGATTTTTGAAAATAATAAATGCGCGTGCGACTCTCGACATTGAGCTTAAGGAAATCATCGCGAGGAAACCGGCATGCCTTAAATACAAAAAGCAATGAGACAGAATGCTGATCATATGTCTATAAAAAAAAAGTGTGTGAAAGTATGTACACGCAAATCAAAATTTTTCCCTAACTCGCCAAAAGAAGTATAACTTCAGGGTGTCGGTTTTTTGTGACGGTGTGCTCGCTCATCGTAAAAATAGACTCGCATCATTTTTTCCTAACGCGCCAAAAGAAGTATAATTTCAAATATATATATATATAATATAAAGAAGTATAAATTCATATTCTAAGGGAACTAAAAAATGCCCAGTAAATAAATAACGAGAGCAGTGTTGGCCTGGTTTGATCCCCGGCCGTGCACCAAAGGACTTTCTAGTTGCGCATTTAAAATTCGCTCGAACGGTGAAGAAAAATATCGTCAGGAAACCAACTTGTCTTAGACCAAAAAAAGCCAGGTGTCAGGCACAAGTGGCTGATCACCTACTTTCCTATTAGATTGACAAATGATCATGAAGCAGGTTCAGAAATCTGAGACCCAGACCACAAGGTCGCGCCGCTGATTTAGTTTAAATAAATACGTTGTAACCAGAAAATGACAACTTTTAATAGTGATGATTTTAATCGAGTTTGCGACATTATGATATCCGGGTGGTTTTTACATTTGTTTAAAAGCAATTGCCCGTGAGCACACGCTCACTTCTTTCATTAACCTTAATATTAAACTTCACAGAACACATTGCACAATTTTTTTTAAATAATAAAATAAATTAAAAATGTGTTTATTCATTATAAATACATATGCATTACAATGTGTAAGATTTGGGAACCCTTTTTACTAAAAAATACCTGTGTTCCCAGCTCTTCCATAACAAACTTAATTATAAATTCCTTAAAATATATTTATGTGTAATTTTATTACATCTTTTATTTTATTTATTGAAGTGAAACTTCTTTATCGGGGTTGGAAAAAAATTTAGTGTAACATTTTTGCGTTACGCGTCACATTTTTTCGTTACGCGCCATGTTGCTTTTTGAAGTCAAACTTCTTTATCGGCGTTAAAATATGACATATAGTATGTTTTTGACTTTGAAGTTTGACAACGGATTACATTTTCGAAGTCAAACTTCTTTATCGGCGTTAAAATATGACATATAGTATGTTTTTGACTTTGAAGTTTGACAACGGATTACATTTTCGACTTGAAATTTGCTAATCGCAATTTGCAGCAATTAATTTGTAAATTGTATGCTAGGCAGTGTATCAAAATTTACTGTGTTTAAAGAAATAGTTTCTAATAAGGTCATAAAGAAGTTTCACTTCTTACGTGTGTACACCTAGTACACGCACACATTTTTTTTTGTTTTTGATTTTTCAACTGTTATCAACACGTTTGAGTGCATGAATGAGTGTGTTGGTGTATGTTAGTAAATAAGTAAGTGCGTGGGTGCAAATGTGTGAGTGAGTGAATGAATAAAGTGTGTAACTACATATTAGGTCTCAGAAAACAATTGACAGACTATTTTAAACAGGAAGTAAAGCTAGCTAGCTGCCAGCGTATAGAGCCGAACTTGCGTTACTGAATTTCTAATTGTTTTATTTAGAATTTTGAACTTTTCAGGGAATCTATTTTACTTGATGCGTCATTACTCGAGTTCACCAAAGAAGAGCAGAAGGGGCTGAGCCAGATGGCAGAGGCCTATAAGAAAAGCAAGTCGTCCGAAAGACACGCTGCCTTACTCACGTTCTTCTGTGAATCTGCCAAAATCAAAATACCTGCGATATGGTGATTATATTATTGTTAAGTTCTTTGGTCAGATTTGGCCACTCTTTATCTTTATTACACCAGATTAATTTTACTTCCCAACAATTTTATATAACTAATTCTTAAGCTGTGAGTTACTTTCAACACGACATCAATTTACATTCATCAAAACAATCAATTTACATTCGACAACAAATGAATTAACAAACAAATATGGTGGCGCGGGGCATATTACGTTCAACCAATCAGCGCGCGAGGTGCGATCTGTTTCACAATTTGACTGGTTTACTTCGATAGATTACAATCTACCGAATAATAATACGTTAAATTGTAAGCTACTGCTGAGGTTCACAATCTTTCGACAGTTTATAATCTCGCGAGATAGATTACAATCTAACGGAGTTTACAATTTTACGTTAACATATATATCGCTTGTCCCAGGAAACAAAGTCGTAAAGCAATTTCGTAACTATTTACACTAAATACATAACAATGCTTAAATCATCAAATAGGAAATATAAAATAGCTTTCATTTGATATATATATTGTATATGTAATGTACTTAATATCCTAGTAATTATAGGACATCTTTCTTTTTCCAAAAAAAATAGATTGCTTTTTTTTCAACAACATTTAGAAATTACTACTTTATTATATTCTACTTGAAAACAATCACTTTTATCCTAATTATTTTATAATGCAAAATGTGCTAAAATTTAAAATTTAAATGACAAGCCAATACTAACGTCTTTTCCACAGACTAACGAACAAATTAAATAAACCTACAGTTAACATATAATAGATAAGTATAATCTAAAGAATCTAATCTATAGTCCTTTTCACGAAAGAAGTCCCCCAGACGCGGCGCTGCAATCGCATGACGTAATGTTGCCATTTATGAGTAAAAAATTTACCTATTTTATTTACATTTAGCAGATGTAATTTATCAAATAATACTATTTTCTGCGTACTTCGATGAAACAATATATCTGTTATGTAAAAAGTATATTTTTATTTACTTATATTGCGGTGTTCTACCTACTTACAGGGAAAAGATAAGAAAATAGGGTAAAGAAAAGCAATACAATTGTTTATTCAGAGTTTTATTGCATAATTGTGATCAACGGCCATAGGGACATCACTGTCCGAAGAGTGTATTGAAACAGAATCAGATTCTGTTTCAGTATCACTAGCAGTTGATATAATTATTCGGTCCATCACTTCATCCATAAGGCCGTCATTTTTTAAATATTCCTCCTCTAAATGTTCGACATGCGAGCACTGAGCTGTCCAATCTTCAGCCGTAATAGACTCAAAGGCCTCTTTAGTTAATTTTAATATTTCTTTTGGATCTTGTGCCACGTTCTTATCCGCCACCTTTCTTTTTACAAGGCTCCAGATATTCTCAATCGGGTTGAGGTCACAATGGTAAGGCGGCAACCTTAATACTTCGTGTCCGTGAGCTGTTAATAATTCATCCACTGCAAATATCGGTGGACCTTTATTTTGTTTGATTAGCTCATACAGCACAACTTTTGTCCAGGTGTCTTCAAAATATATACCCTTTTGCCGGAGCCACTCTTGCATACTACTTTTTATATTTGACATAGAAGGGGCTTTGTTTAATTGAGTGCAATGGTAAGGAGCGTTATCCATTACCACAAGCGACCTTTCAGGTAGATTAGGTATTAGTTTTTCCGTCACCCATTTTAAGAAATTTGCTGAGTTCATGTCATCGTGGTAATCTGAGGACTTTGATTGGGATTTGAACATTAATAATGCACCATTTATGAATCCATCTTTTGTTCCCGCATGAGCGATTATCCAGCGACTCCCTGATGATTCTGAGACGAACATTCCTGGCTCCTCCTCACTCTGCCAACAACGTTTTGTATGATAAGTATTGTGTATATAGGTCTCATCTAAGTATACAACTGGTCGTTTTTCCACAGTGCGATTTATTCGTATTTTATTCAAATATCTTGCACGCCATGCGGTAATGTCGTGGCGTTCCATAAGTAGTTTTCGTCTGGATTGACATCGCTTGTACTTGAAACCAATTCTATTTAATATCCTGTGCAATGTTGTGATGCTTCCCTGATAATTGATGTCCTCTCGCAGAGCTGCCCGTAATTTAACCAATGTTGGTAATTCTTTATGTACGACGTAAAAACTGTAAATTTTTTGCCGGATAGCGCACAAATCGAACCCGTCTAAGTCGAACTTTTTCGGATGCGGGCGACTCTTCCCCGGGGTTACAATTTTTTTTGAAGTACACGCCGCTGTTACACCTTCGTTTGTAATTCTTGATACAGTTTTCTCTGACACACCTGCAATTAAATTATGAACAATTAAAAATAATAGTAACTTTAAGTTTATAATGCTTATGTAATATATGTTTTAATTTCAGTTACCTAGTTTCATCACGTTATGTATTTGTTCAATTTTGTCGTAAAAACGAATTTATATTATCATAAAACTCCCATCAATACAGCAAAAAATTATTAAATGGCAACTCTAAAAAGTACCTGTTATGGCGGCAACTCTCTTCCGAACATTGTTTAGTGGTATTAAAACACCTTTATTCTTTTGTTCCGCTTCACAGAACTCTTTCACCTTTAATATCAATTCTCGAGCCGAACTTTTTACAACTTTTGGCATTGTAATCAATATTTAAAATGCACTAAGATAGTTAAAAATTCACAAAAATCTACCACAACAAACGAACTTGATAACATCGACGAATGACAACATTGCCGACCTGTCAAATTTAGTTCCAAAAATATCCGCGGGACTTCTTTCATGAAAAGCACTATAAGAAAAAAAGGGTGCGTGTACTTATGTACGCGCGTAAGAAATTATACTTGTTTGGCATTATTAAAAATAGTTTTTGATTGCATGCAAATAATTAATTACAATTAAATAATCAAAGACTGGAAAAGGAGTCATTATAGTCAATAAAGTTCAGTTTACATTTGAAAAATTAAATAAATAAATATTTATTATTATTCTCTTACATTAAGTGTAACGTAAATTCTATTATTATTCGAATGTTGTTTTTAAATTATGTCCAATGCCGTAGCATCTTCCGAGGGCAACTTCATTCTGTTAATCTTGTGTCACGGTGCACGCGCATCGTAAAATTTCACTCTCATCAGTTTTTCATAAAGCGCCTAAAGAAGTATAACTTCAAAAATAGCTTGCATTTGATATTTATAGTTGTTTCTGTGATATACTTAGTATCCTAGTAATAATAGGACATTACCATTTTTTATTTGTCCTGAAAAAATAGATTTTGCTTTCACGACTTTCCTCCCTGGGGTGAGCGATTGTTGGCAACATGTAATATCTATAATTCAATTGTTTTGTTATCTGTAATTTTTCTTCATATATATATGTGTCTATGGTTTAAACTTCCTTCCGCTTCCATCGTGATGTATTGCTACTAGTGCTCAAATAAAGTGGTGTAATAATAAGTGAAAAATAAGTGTTTTTTCTACGCCTGACCTAACCTGGAAAAAATTAATCTACAGTCCACGCTCTGCAGCTAGAATAACCGTGTGTAGGATAACGATTCATACTAGTGCCCTACAGCGATATGTAGTAAATATCAGTGGCGGATTTACCAGCAGGCTGAGTAGGCTGGAGCCTAGGGCGGCAAATTTTAAGGGGCGGCAAATTTAATTCATAAATTTTTTATTTCGGTTTACAAATTTAAAAAAAATTAATATACACACACATAATACGAATTCCGAAAATTGGAGAGAAATTAAAATATTTAACAAAAATCGAAATATTCTCATATACAGTGCTAATTAATAAATATTTCAACATCTCTGCATGAACAATTCCTAAACGCTTTACTAATTATACATTAATGATTATGAACTTTTAGAATATCGCGATTCGATATTATAATCGAAATTTAGTAATTTTTACATATATTCTTCACTGATAACTGCTATAATTTTTTCTCCGTGTACCTAATAATTATGAGATCTGCTTACCCAATTCAATCGATATAATATCGATGGTCTAATAAAAATACTGACTAAAATTGACTAATTTTTATCAAATAAAAAACTAGTTCGATATCTTATAGAGATCATATTAATCAAATAACTGATAGTTGAACGACTGTGACTTGACAATAAAAAAATTCCTCCACAAAATATGAAGTGAGACAATTTGCTCATTAGAAAATTGATACATTTTATCAGTTAATTATTTTATTTGCAGTAAGAAAAAGTTTGGAAAATCCAAATGAGCAGGCCTTAAGCGCTCATGTCGTACACGAATTATTTAAATTAAATGTTTACATCAGTAGATTTGATAACTTTTTCGCAAAGCCAACTTTTTCAGAAAATGCCAATCGGAATTAATTATAATAAGATAAAACAATACTCAGCTGCAATTTTTTATTCAACGGCTTCTCTCCAGTTAAACAAGTATATTAAAAAAAACTGTTTACTGTGAACACGATCATCCAAAATCCATACGATATGGCATTAAAATTACTTCCTTTTAAATGAAAAAATAATTAATCATAACCGAAAAAATAATTTTTATAAGCTCAGCGATCATTTTTCTTTCCGATTAGTTGCTTTTTAAATAATATTCATGTACATCATATTTGTTAGGTACGGTTTAATGTGAGAAAACATCGGATTTAGATTTTTACGCAAGAGTAGAGCATACCTACTACGCTCTTCGCACTTAAGGCATGCAATTGCGTAGTCGTATTTGTATTGTACGGCCAGAACAAACGACATGACGATTCGGTAAGAGTGTCTGGCTGAATGGATAGCACAAGTGCAGCACGATAGGGTTACTACGTGAGCCGAAGCGGGCTCCTGATGTATAAAAAAGTTGTAAAGTTGGAATTTTATTGATAGAAAATTGATATGATTGTGGACTAAGATATCAAAATTTAGAGGCGGCAAAAATTGAATAGCCTACGGGCGGCAAATCTATAAATCCGCCACTGGTAAATATATATGATTAATAAAATTCAAATGTGTTGCTGAAATATGTATTTTAAGAAACAACATTTAGAGTTTGTTATTTCACTTGAAAAAAATCTTCGAATTAAATTTAAATGACAGGCTAAAACTTACATTTTTCCTACAGACTATCAAACAAATTAAATAAAACAACGGTTACACATAATAGATAAGAATAATCTAAAGAATCTAATCTAAGACATATAATTATTTTTTTACATATATATACTAAACAAAAATTTCCTTTTATGATTACAGTAAATATTTACGACAATTACTGAAGGATTTCTCCGGGAAATTCCTTGTTTTCGCTCACCATAGAAACGTGATAGATGCTATATGTTCGACGTTGGACGAAGTCGGGTTGCATTATATATGTATAGTGGGATCAACACCCCCTTCAACGAGAGCGGTGAGTTTCCTTTCCTTTATGTTAACAACTAATTAATTTAAAAATTAAATATTATCTCTGTAACTTTTAAGAGCTATGTTGGCCTAGTGGCTTCAGCGTGCGATTCTCATACCTGAGATCTTAGGTTCGATCCCCAGCTGTGCACCAATGGACTTTCTTTCTATGTGCGCATTTAATATTCGCTCGAACGGCGAAGGAAAACATCGTGAGGCGTTTGTCAGACACAGGATGATCACCTACTTGCCTATTAGATTGACAAATGATCATGAAGTGAACTGAGGCCCAGACCTAAAAACGTCACGGCCTCTGGCATTGACTGTCCATGGGCGGTATCACTTAACATCAGATCAGCCTTTAAATGACAGGCCAAAAACTTTTCCTTATCAAATTTAGCGTTATGTATTGTAATACGTCAACATTCAAAATCCATAAAAAACTTCAGTTTACAATGAATACTCCATAAATCTTATTGAATATTTTCAATTGTATATTGATTTATATTGAAAGTTTTAATAATTTTCTGTTTACAATGTCATTTAAATTGCACAGGACCTCGTAGATAAATTCCAACATTCGGAATCGTGTAGATGCGGTGTATTGTCCATAACGGCCGCCAGTTCTGGCCTCACGCTCACCGCTGCAGATCTTGTACTATTCGCGGAACTACATTGGAATCCAGGGGTAATTATAAAGAACAGTTTCTAGGGACAATGGGCCCGTTGGCATGGGCCAAATAAACCAGTGGCGCTACAATCTTTTAATGTCGTCTGAAGCCGGTTTCCTCATGTTTTCCTCTTTTAAAAAGGGTTAAATGAGCATAGGCAACGTTTATTGGTGCTGCAATTCGAACCTAAGACTTTGGTCTAGGTACCAATAAATGTAAGAATTAGATATTAGTTAAAATTATTCCTGTAACAAAACCACTTTTTATTGACGAATTAATAAATGTTTTAATTTTAAATAGATTTGTCTCTGTCTCTGTAAATCAACTGTCCAAATTGACATCAAAGAATGATTTGACAGCTCGTGGCATAAACAAAACCCCATCTGTCAAAGTGACAGGATTTTGATAGATGGTTCCCATTTAGACTACGCATTCAATACTGGGCAGTATTATGGGCTATTAGTTTATGAGTACTGTTTCTTTAGATATTGACACAAGCGGAGTCGCGTGCGCATCGTATAGGCCGCAAAGGCGGCGTGTGCGCGCGGTACTTGTTGGCGCATGGCACTGTCGATGACCACATGTGGCCTTTGTTGCAGAACAAACTCAGTGTAAGTATGCGTTTTTAGTTTGAAAGATTGTCAAGAACATTCACGTGATGGTGGAGCCTATGTTCGTGGGCTCCAGATAGCAGCTAAGGTCCCGATGGAGGTCGTTATTGCGAATGTATCAGGGAGCATTGCCTAATTTCCTGAGCCTCCATCCTCCATCCTTGTTTTGGAATCGTTGGATGTGGCTTTTACTGGTACAGCCCACGGCTGGCAACCATAAGTCCATACAGGCGTCAGGACTTATTTGTATAATTAATTTTGTACTGATAACGTGGACTGCCTTCCGAGCTGTTGGATCCAACTCTTCGCGCTTACGTGGCGTAAAATATCCACACCTTTTTTTACTTACGGAAATGCATTGCGCATATCCTACCGAAGCGCGACTGCTTAGTGCGGGAAGATTATGTGGGTCTCGCGATTGTGCATACCCACTAAAACCCCAAGGCGCCACCAACAATCGCCTTAGGCGGGATGCGGTAACAGCAGAGCCTTATCCGCTTCCCGACATGCGATGCAGCGGTTGCGTCCGCCTCTCCACGCCCATTGTTAGTTTGTGAAGATACTTGACACATCCTACCCTTCATAGACCGGTCTATTCGCTTTTAGGTGACGAGGATTTAGTGAGCGCGTAAAAACAGTCCACACCTCCACAACTAAACGTTGTAAGTACTGCAATAACGACCGCGAACGATCCCCATCAACATCTTGAACACATGTTGAATTGAATTAGTTGAATGAATTGAATTGAATTTTTTATAGCAAGACCATAGGCTACATGCATAAAATTATGTACAATATGCTCTACAAAGAGTGATTATTGATTATTGGGCGAGTATTTGTATAATTTCAGAATGATACGTAAAAAACTTGACGTTTGGAAGAACAATTTGTATAAATTCCAAAATAATCAATAATCTCAAATGGTTTTTAAATCTTGTTATTCTTAAATTAATTTCTAGTAGCAAGACAAGTTTTTTATTTAATCCCCAATAACTTTGAGATAATAAAGCGACTCAACTCGTAGTTTTTATACCTGATCAAGTTTTGACTTGCGCCATAAAAAATATATATTTTTTATTCTTAGACTCTTATGCCATTTAACTGGTATAATCATGAAGTGATAACATAAATAAGTTCTTTTTTACCATCCAAAACTATGGACAAATACACTTAAAAATATTTTAACGAACATTGACGAAATTTAACATTTTTTCGTTTCCTGTAATGGTCTAAGATCCCGCTGCAGGATTGGTGCGCTCATCGACTATTTGTTTAAAACCAAATTTTTATGTTTATTTATAATTAAGAGAATATATATTTACTAGGGTGCCTATCAAAATTTGGCCGCCATTATTTTTAATTAAATTATTTTTAATTGTTTTTGGTAAAAAATTGCGTTCATTTATTATTTAAATAAAATAACGTCTACATCACGGTAATTAATATGAAGATTCTAAAAAATCACGGGTGCCGTTGCGTACATGGCCGCACCTCTTTGCAGCCAGGTGTAAACAGGTATGATTTCGATACATTTATACGTTTATAACCTATTTTTATTAATTATATGTCAAATTGAAGCTATTTTTTTCTATTAATTATCATATAAAGTTGCTTAATTAAATCTGGCCGCAAATAAGGGCTACTGGCTGTTAAAGATAATAAATATTTAAGGTAGAGTGAAAGAGAGTTAGCGCGTAACATCATTTGTCAGACGAGGACAGCGATTGTCGGCTGTGCGACGCTTTTAAGCCATTGCGCATGCGTCGAACGTTAGTGTTCTCAACCACCGGGGAGTAATAGAGACGAATTATAATAAATACTCCAAAAAATATGTATTTTTTTTCAAAATGACAAATTTAAAAATTGCAACAAAAAATTAATATTGATTTGATATATCGACGGTCTAGTTAGCAATTTGTCTAACTCCTTATTTTTTAGAGGGTGATTTTTTTTAAATTTTGATGAAGACATAATCCAATTACAAATTATTTGAATGATTCAAACTTAAAAATTATATCTCTATTAGATATTAATGATATTAAATGGTTTTTTAAAATGATAATAAATTTTGAAGTCATTGTTTTTTTCGTACAAATAAAAGATTCTCTAAAATGGAGTTAGATAATTTGCTAATTAGCACGTCGATATTTAATATTAATTTAAAAAATAAAAAATTAAAACCAAGGCGACTTAAGTAAAAGAAAATTTTATTGCGAAAGTATTATTTAAAAATTTTATTAGATTTTATTCAAGTAATTGATTGTCTATTACATATTAATTAAACATTTAAGCAAATTAAAAAATTAATCTTATAACTCTTATATTTCCGTAACTCTTATTTAAAAATCTGAATCATCGGAGCTTTCTGTTGTACTATCATCGGAGCTATCACTTTCATCGCTACAAATATCAGAATCGTCGTTATCGGAAGCTTTGTTCATGGATTCACATAGCACACTATTAACTTGCGTTGGAGTTGAGTCTCCCAGGAACTATGTTGGTTTTAAAAAACCATCTAGTACCAGCCAGCCATTTTGGGCTGAATTTTTTGCAATTTTTAAATTTGTCATTTTGAAAAAAATTACATATTTTTAATAATAATAATAATAATAATCATTTATTTGCAAGAATATGGTATAAAAATCTTATGGTTGTACAATCATATGGTTTTTGGAGTATTTATTATAAGTCGTCTCTATTACTCCCCGGTGGTTGAGAACACTAACGTTCGACGCATGCGCAATGGCTTAAAAGCGTCGCACAGCCGACAATCGCTGTCCTCGTCTGACAAATGATGTTACGCGCTAACTCTCTTTCACTCTACCTTAAATATTTATTATCTTTAACAGCCAGTAGCCCTTATTTGCGGCCAGATTTAATTAAGCAACTTTACATGATAATTAATAGAAAAAAATTAGCTTCAATTTGACATATAATTAATAAAAATAGGTTATAAACGTATAAATGTATCGAAATCATACCTGTTTACACCTGGCTGCAAAGAGGTGCGGCCATGTGCGCAACGGCACCCGTGATTTTTTAGAATCTTCATATTAATTACCGTGATGTAGACGTTATTTTATTTAAATAATAAATGAACGCAATTTTTTACCAAAAATCAATTAAAAATAATTTAATTAAAAATAATGGCGGCCAAATTTTGATAGGCACCCTAGTAAATATATATTCTCTTAATTATAAATAAACATAAAAATTTGGTTTTAAACAAATAGTCGATGAGCGCACCAATCCTGCAGCGGGATCTCGTACTGTAATGTTTGGTTCTCTGGACTTACGAGGTTATCATTCTACAGGGACAATATGCCTAGAAAAACTTGAAACTTCTAAACCGATATAAAGCTATGTTATCCACGAGGAACTTTTGGCTTAGTGGCTAATAGCGCGCGAATCTAGGCTGCGTCAATGGAATTTTCTATGTACCCAATTAGCTAGCTGCACGGCATATAATATGTGTATGTATGTAGTGTGGACACAGTTTTCGCACTTAGACGCCTACTGTCCGATGTGCGTGAAGCCCTGGCTTGATTAAGCCAGCCCAGCTCCTTCTCAAGCTCAGAAGTTTCCTGGGCTTTCGCAGGCTTCCAAGAGCCACCTCACTGCTCCGAGGATCGTGAGAAAACCGTTTCATATTGAAGAGATTATTAATTAATTACTTATTCGAATGTTGTTCAATATGACCATGAACTCTTAATTCGGCCAGCGAGCGACTAGCCATCGACAATTTATTCCCTGTTATTGCTTAGTAATACATCTAATATATAAAATTCTCGTGCACAATGTACGTTCCCATACTCCTCCGAAACGGCTCGACCGATTCTTATAAAATTTTTCATGCATATTCAGAAAATCGGCTACTATCTATCTTTCTAACCCATAAGGGATAAGGGGTGTGTTTTTTTATGATACAACAATACGATCAACCTCTATTTTTTATTATTGTAGATTTTTATTGACCTAAAAAAATATTCCTAGAAATAATATACATGGCAACACGACGTTTGCCGGGTCAGCTAGTTTATATACATATATAAAAAAAACATATCGTTTATATAATAAGTTCATGTTGTTTCAACCAATTTTTTTTGAAATTACAGTTTCTCTTCAAAATATCGTAATAAATGTTTGTAATAAAAATATTGCCAGAGTTATCTAACCTAATATAAGTTAGATATATACAGACTATATATTCTAGTAAATAATTAAAGCGTATACTAAATGTTAGCAATCATCGTACACTTGAAGCTAAGTTTTTCCTACACTCATTAATTGTAATATAACAATCTCGTTTTCAATAATGTCCAATAGGTTGCCTACACTTATATTCTTTACATTTAACAGAAGTGTCACTTGGATTCAAGAACCCTTCAATAAATCATATTACTTTTTTGTTAATCCAGTGTCGCAACCCCACTACCCCTAATGTTATAAGCTCATGTATTTAACGATTAAAGCCAATTGACACCCAGCTTCATTCAAAGAGTTTCATTTAATATTTTGTTGTCACTTTATACGCGATATTTTGAATATGGCCGTAAATTTTATTTAAAAAAAGTTTACAAGAGAATCTTATCTTCATTTCAGGTTCTAAATAATGTTGGTCTAAGCAAAGATACCTTTGAGGATACAACCATGAAACATCAGGTAATCCATATTTATATTTAAATATATGAAAAAGATATATAAATATAAAAACAAATATTTTCCTCCGCATACTCTGTGTAGGAATTTATTATTTAATTTATTGGCTATTGTATTTTCTTGTTATCGCTGAAGTATGTAACGTATTTTATGAGTAATTTAAATATTTTTTCAGGAAAGCAAAAACAATATCACACAATACCTTTCGCCTGCAAGAAATAAAAACGATTATATTCCAGGAACTAACATTCGCAAGAATTTTGAATCCGTTCAGACGTCAGATATACACACTGATAACTTCCTCGATGATGAGGAAGGTGATGAATTATTGGCAAATTTAGATTTATGATAGAGTTTCGTGATTTTGAAGTTTGTAAATAAATAAATTATTCTTTATAAAAAATGTTTTATTTATGATACATATAGAGATAGAGAGACCTAAAGTTAAGAGATTTCCAGAGTCCGGTGGCCAAGTTTCCCTTGGTTTCGCGTTTTAGTAGAAAGAAACCTAAAAACTCCCCAACTTATCTGCTGAGATATATTTTAACACGGTCCGTTACGGGTGACCGTCAATTCCTTGGCTTCACAATTCATCATACATTCGCTGGAATATGTTTGACCATCAGATGCGCAAACAGGTTCCTTTACTTTCGGACATGAGCACTGTGGGCCACCTTCGCCAATGACGACTGGTTTTGGGGCACATATGCCCTCATGCTCGATACGCAACACCTCCAGCGTGCTTGATTCTTTTGCACAGTCAAACAAACAGGGATTGTCGTACGTCAACCCATTACTGGCGCATACTGGTCTCAAATCTGTAGTGCAAAGACATATGGGTCCTGGGGCGACTTGGATCTCCTCTCTCTTGTTTCTGCATGGACCTTCATATAAGAACTCCACGGCCTGGGTTCTCTGAAGGCATTCGAGTTCACATCGATTGCTGTAGGTTTTTTGCCCTTCACCATCGGTACCACAGACTGGATTATAATCGAACGAGCAGGCACAGATTGGTTCTTCCCTTTTCACCTTGCAAGGACCTTGATATTTAACCTCAACATTGGTTTGTTCTTTCTGGCAGTCGAGTATGCATTCGTTGGCATAGGTCTCGCCATCTGTCCCGCAAACCGGTAGATGAATAGCATTACATGGGCATAGTAGAGGTTCCTCACGTTTCGCACGAGTGTCGCATTTGCCTGGTCGAGCGAGACTGAGGTCTGGGTTTTTGGTGGCAGCACAATCAAGCATACATTGGTTATTATATGTAGTGCCATCAGAACCACAAACTGGGCTGAAACCTCGCGTGCAGACGCATGGTGGCAACGCGAAGCTGATGGGGACACAGCTCGCAATAATAGTAACGACTCCTGCCAAAAAGAAAACTGAATTATTCATTTGGTAATTATGTAAATTATATTCGGAAAAATGAAATTGAGTCAAATTTAATATTTGAATTGTGATTCGTTAAAGACTCTTTATTCACAATAACATGAAATGCAAAATATGTTGCTAAGGTCAAAACTCGAAGACGGCTGGACCAATTCAACTATTTTTATTAAAATTTATTCCTTAAACTCTGCGGAAGGTTTTTATGGAGAGAAAATTTGTAAAAAAAGGCTAAGTAAAAAAAACATATTAAAGGAAAATAAGTTTTCGGGGACAGCTAGTATAAAATAAAATTAGTGTAAATGTGTTTTAATTGAAGTACAATCACTCATCTGTTACTTTGACTGTAAGAGACAAAACAACTTTAGTTAAGAGAGTGATTTACTTTCTATAACGTTTAACTGAACTAAAACCTAACCCTAAAACGATTTTTGATATTTAACCCAATGTCGACAGTAGAAATAAATTTTGATTTAATTTTGTTTAAAATAACTGATTAAAAGATCATACCTTAAACCTTGATAATTTGAATTCAGATAAATGATTATTGGTCTCTCATATAAACATTATTTAAATGAACTTTTTACAAAGCACCTTAGCAAAAAACATGATAAATTATTAATCACCACCATGGCTCGAAAAGTGGGTTTTATCTAGATGATCTGGTAAAAAACTTGCTCACAATTCAATGCCAAATGAGTTCATGTTTTTTTTTACCGTTTTGATACACATTTTTGCGGTAGCGTCTGCGTTATTGAATCGGACCGAAGAGCTATTTTAGAAGAGAAGCGTTGTCCTGTGTTGCTAGTTCGAGTCGGTGTTGCTAGGTGAAATAAATTAATGGTAAGAAAGAAAGGGATTGTAAAAAGAAATACATTTGGCGCTACAAGCATCCGTGATCAAAAAGGAGCCGCGAATATACTAAATCATAAACAAAACTAGATATGTTTTGACATTTAATTACGAGTTTTTTTATAGTTCTGTATAGTGAATATTGCCATTCTATTGCACTTATTCTTGCTATCCGACTTGCTATATCACACACCTTAGTGTTTTTATTATCTATATGTAATAATTAACATAATTAGATACCTATAAGATTATCTGGTCCATCAATTATATGAATATGTTAATAACTCAATTATATTCTAGGATTACGTTATATGCATTGACAAGTTTTCCTGTTGTATTTACTAGATTCTTAGTTTGTTTAACGACTCATGTGCTAACAATATTACTTACTTAACATTAAACATGAAAACTGCACCTTTATTTACCGTGAGAAGGAAAACAAATACAGAATAATCGGTAAATATTTGAGAATCTTGGCCTTTACGTAAAACAATTGTATTCTACTAATTTGTTTCGTGGCATTTGTTTTAAGGACCTAGATTAATACATGCGTGGAGTACACAAGAGTTCAAGTCCAGTCTCTGAATAAAGTTAAGTGGTGTCCTTTTTTATGTTTTCGACAAAAAAAATTGATATATCATTACAAAAATACATACAACCCTTAATTTTCACCCCTCTACGATCAAACAACCAATTTTTAATTATTGCAGATATTATATAGTTATTTTTATTGAACTAAAAAAATGTTTTCTAGAATTTATGCAACAGGAGGCTGGCCAGAAGGCTCGCAAGTGCGTTGCCGGCCTTTTAAGAATTGGTGCGCTGTTTTTTAGAACGGATCCTAAGTCAAATTGGTTCGGATATACTTCAGTAGGCAGTTGATTCCACACATATTCATTGGCTAAACTCATAACTAGTTGACCGCTACTTTTTCGAACCGAACACGTTTTTACCCCGATAACCTTGGCCATGAATAATGTTTGCAAAAAATTTAAGATGTATTAGCATGTGACTATGTTTTGATCATTTGTTATTGCTTTTAACCCTAGAAAATAAGATTGAATGATGCGTTTAAGCGTTTAGCTTAGCGTAGAACTGTCTATTGAAACGTTAATGTTATGTTTCGGAGACGAGATTTAGAGCATTACTCCCGGATGTTCAATACGTTTTGTCAGACAGGACACTTTTAATTAGATAGGGAGGTAAACAAACCTATGATAGTTATAAAAGGCAGTCACTGCAGCCCATAGACACCCATGCTTGTGGGTGCGTTGCCGGCCTTTGAGAGAGAAAAACATTTTTTCAATTATTGTAATTTTATCACCCTCGAAAGTTGATTACACAGTTCGCTAGACTTCATTAAATTCATGTGTTGTATTTCGTGAAGATATTATAATTTTATTTAAGCATATTTTTTTTTAAGTTTTGGGATTTTACGACCTGGCATAGTATATATTAAACACAGATTTTTAGACACACCTATGACCTACCTAATATAACGTTAGTTCGATTTCAGACTAAATTATAACCGTGAAAACCAAGTGAAATAAAATTAAGTACAGTAGATATGTGAAACAATTTTTAATTGTTTTGTTTTTAATTATATTGGGCCGGTGCGGCCGGTGTTCTCGCTAAACGAATAAGTATCGCAATACAGCGAGGAAATGCTGCCAGCGTTAAAGGTACACTGCCACAGAGACCGAACTTTTTAAATTTGTTTTGATTTTGTTTTTATTAATTTTTAATTATTTATTTGTTATGATTCTTAATATTTTCTACGTTTAAGACAATTCAAACTATGGTCCGTGGGGTCCTAGCTCCATAAGGCTTTTTAAGGAAATTGCAAAAAGGTTAGTCGACATCACAGGAGACCGAAGAGCTGGCAGCTACCTCGGACAAAGAATTAGTCTAGCTATTCAAAGGGGGAACGCTGCCAGTATCTTCGGAACCTTGCCTAAAGGCCAAAGGGGCTCCTTTTAATAGTTTATTTTAGGGCTAGATATTGTTTTTGTTATATTAATTTATGGTTGCTGGACGAAATTCAAACTATTGTAATATTTATATAGTGGTATTTACTTATTATATGTTAAGATTAATTAACCTTGATCTTTGAGTTTCATCATATTGATATCGATTGACCCCGCATTATAAATGTATAAAAATGGTCTTAATTAATAAATATTGTATAAACTCAAAACAAAACTAATAATTAATTTAGTATTAATAGGATTATTATTTAATAAATCATCGATTATTAAATATATTTTTTGTCAACGTAAGTTGAAATTATTCAAGGTTCCTGAATAATTTCAACTTACGATGATTTATTTACTTAGCCTAAAAATTTTAGAAGTACTAAATAAAACTAAATTTTTATTTTTCTTTTCCATTTTGTTAATCCAGTGTCGCAACCCCACTACCCCTAATGTTATAAGCTCATGTATTTAACGATTAAAGCCAATTGACACCCAGCTTCATTCAAAGAGTTTCATTTAATATTTTGTTGTCACTTTATACGCGATATTTTGAATATGGCCGTAAATTTTATTTAAAAAAAGTTTACAAGAGAATCTTATCTTCATTTCAGGTTCTAAATAATGTTGGTCTAAGCAAAGATACCTTTGAGGATACAACCATGAAACATCAGGTAATCCATATTTATATTTAAATATATGAAAAAGATATATAAATATAAAAACAAATATTTTCCTCCGCATACTCTGTGTAGGAATTTATTATTTAATTTATTGGCTATTGTATTTTCTTGTTATCGCTGAAGTATGTAACGTATTTTATGAGTAATTTAAATATTTTTTCAGGAAAGCAAAAACAATATCACACAATACCTTTCGCCTGCAAGAAATAAAAACGATTATATTCCAGGAACTAACATTCGCAAGAATTTTGAATCCGTTCAGACGTCAGATATACACACTGATAACTTCCTCGATGATGAGGAAGGTGATGAACTATTGGCCAATTTAGATTTATGATAAGAGTTTTGTGATTTTGAAGTTTGTAAATAAATAAATTATTCTTTATAAAAAATGTTTTATTTACGATACATATAGAGATAGAGAGACCTAAAGTTCAGAGATTTCCAGAGTACGGTGGCCAGGTTTTCCTTGGTTTCGCGTTTTAGTAGAAAGAAACCTAAAAACTCCTCAACTTATTTGCTGAGATATATTTTAACACGGTCCGTCACGGGTGACCGTCAATTCTTTGGCTTCACAATTCATCATACATTCGCTGGAATATGTTTGACCATCAGATGCGCAAACAGGTTCCTTTACTTTCGGACATGAGCACTGTGGGCCACCTTCGCCAATGACGACTGGTTTTGGGGCACATATGCCCTCATGCTCGATACGTAACACCTCCAGCGTGCTTGAATCTTTTGCACAGTCAAACAAACAGGGATTGTCGTAGGTCAACCCATTATTGGCGCATACTGGTCTCAAATCTGTAGTGCAAAGACATATGGGTCCTGGGGCGACTTGGATCTCCTCTCTCTTGTTTCTGCATGGACCTTCATATAAGAACTCCACGGCCTGGGTTCTCTGAAGGCATTCGAGTTCACATTGATTGCTGTAGGTTTTTTGCCCTTTACCATCGGTCCCACAGACTGGATTGTAATCGAAGGAGCAGGCACAGATTGGTTCTTCCCTTTTCACCTTGCAAGGACCTTGATATTTAACCTCAACATTGGTTTGTTCTTTCTGGCAGTCGAGAATGCATTCGTTGGCATACGTCTCGCCATCTGTCCCGCAAACCGGTAGATGAATAGCATTACATGGGCATAGTAGAGGTTCCTCACGTTTCGCACGAGTGTCGCATTTGCCTGGTCGAGCGAGACTGAGGTCTGGGTTTTTGGTGGCAGCACAATCAAGCATACATTGGTTATTATATGTAGTGCCATCAGAACCACAAACTGGGCTGAAACCTCGCGTGCAGACGCATGGTGGCAACGCGAAGCTGATGGGGACACAGCTCGCAATAATAGTAACGACTCCTGCCAAAAAGAAAACTGAATTATTCATTTGGTAATTATGTAAATTATATTCGGAAAAATGAAATTGAGTCAAATATAATATTTGAATTGTGATTCGTTAAAGACTCTTTATTCACAATAACATGAAATGCAAAATATGTTGCTA